ATCTATCTATCTATCTATCTATCTATCTATCTATCTATCTACCAATCTATCAATCTACCAATCTATCAATCTATCAATCTATCAATCTATCTATCTATCTATCTTTCTATCTACCTACCTATCTATCTATCTAGCTATCTATCTTAGCTTTCTATCTCTCTCACTCTCTCTCTCTCTCTCGCTCTCCCCCTCGCGCTCTCTCTCTGAATCTCGCTGTCGTTATTGCAGAGGCTGTAACGATGAACTTCGATGGTGAGCAGTACATGAAGATCACCATGCCTGTCGTCTCACAGACGGAGGCTGAGGAAATCTCTCTCAGGTCGGTGCTCACCGCTGCATCGCACATACACACGCCCGTCATATACACGATATAATATATACTTATATATTTTTTACAAAACCTATAATATCACTCAACACAATCATACATTGTAATGCCTTTATTCTAGACACCAACAGTAAACGCAAACGATTGTCACAGAATACAAATTGCATATAAGTTAGAATATACGAACAAAATATAATCTTTCAAGTTTAGAAATACAAATTACTGCTAGTACAAGAACGGTAGGTGTCAGCACTATCTAATAGTTCTGACACCTAACCAATGTATGATTGGGTTGAGAGTATAAATACCAAATACTTATATATTTTAGATATCGATGTAGCACATGGCCTTCCTTTATACGTCATTATACCCCAACAGTTAGAATTTTCGGCGCCACATTTTATACGTTTGTTCTATGACAACGAGGCGAATTCATTTTTCGTTTCTAAATGGAATCGACAACGATTATATGCCCGCTTGCATTCGGTCTCAGTTCGTGCGAATGCCGGTAGTGGACCGTTAAAGCTATAGTTATACTAGAGCACTCGCGAGAAATGAAGTCAAGTAACGCTTCCCGCTTTCTGTCTCGCAGCAGACGCCATTTTACAACACGTTAGTCGCGTCTCGTGTTTTAGTAGCAGCCGGCTAGAGCGATCGAGTTGGTATATAATTTCATAAATGGCGGTAAAGCTGGCTCGCTTAACTTGTATGGGGGGAGGGGGGGGAGTTTTCCGGCTCTGCCCCGCGTAACTGCATTTCGCATTCTCTCTTCATCGGTGGTTTTAACACGCTGAACGTGGAGAAATGCTATCGTAATGTTGGATGTTTTGTTCTGACGGTGTGTAGCTTACAAGCTCACGTTGATACACCCTTCAACCAATGTAACGTCTTTGTATAAATAAATAAATAAATAAATAAATAAATAATTAAACAAATAAATAAATTACTCAATCAATTAATCAATCAATCAATCAATCAATCAATCAATCAATCAATCACAGAACTGGTTATTTATTTGATGCTAGCTCGTTCCTAACGATCCAATCAATATCTTCCCCACCAGCAGCAATTTTACTGTTTTTATAGTCACATGTTCTTCTTGAATAGCTAAACATGCCCATCATGTTAATGGACACTTCACCAGTCCTAAACTGCCAATGGACACACCATCCTGATCATTCCCAGATTGACATTGAACAGGTTGTCATTGCCAAAATCTCAGTCGATGCTTTAAGGTTTCTAACATTGCAATGCGCACCTGATTCAATCATTGTCTACCTTTTTTTCTTCCCTTGGCCTGACCACCTGAGCACCTGACTTAATAATTGCAATCAACATTTCGTGATTCGTAACGTTGTAATAGACGTTGTCTATAACTCCCAATCAACGCTCAATGCTTCTGAAAATTTCGATCAAAACTGATTACCACAAAGTGATTCCGATGATTTCTGAAATCTCTGTCGACATTGAAGCATTTCCACCTCCCATCCACCACCATGAATCCTTCATCTCTCCTCTTCTTTTTTCAGCCCGCCCCGACCTCTCCTCTTCAATAAGTCCCTCCTAACCCCTCACCTTTCTGACCCTCGTCTCCTCTCTTAGCCCACCTTCATCTCTGTACCCATTCCTCCTTTCTGAGCTCTTCCACATCCCTAGCTCCCCCCTCTCTGACCCTGTCTGACCCTCTCCTTATCTGTCAGCCCGCCCTCACCTATCCTCCTCTCTTAGCCCCTCATCACCCTTCATCCTCTCTGACCCTATCCTCTCTCATCCCTCCTTATCCCTCCTCTTTCATCCCTCCTCACCCCTCCACCTCTCTCACCCCTCTTCTCCTTGTACCCCTCTCTCATCCTTCCTCATCCTTCCTCACCTCTCCACCTCTCTGACCCTCTCCACCTCTCTCACCCCTCCCCTCCTTGTACCCCTCCCTCATCCCTCCTCTTCTCTCATCCCTCCCCCATCTCTGACCCTCTCCACCTCTCTCACCCCTCCCCTCCTTGTACCCCTCCCTCATCCCTCCTCTCCTCTCATCCCTCCCCCATCTCTGTACACCCCTCCCTCATACCACCGTCGTTTGACCTCTAGGTGACCTTCGAGGCGGACAGCCTACAGCTGGACCTGACGGAGCTGGCCGAGCGCGGGCATGCCTTCCTCAGCGTGCACGGAGACCTGACGTTCGAATGCGACGCGTACGAGGACGCCCAGCCGATCACCTTCACGACCGACTGGTCGTACCTGAGCCTGCCGACGTGGCAGGCGGCACGCTCCGGTAGCATCTCCTTCAAGTTCCGCACGAACGAACAGAACGGGTTGTTGATGTACGATAGTGGAGCGACGGAAGGAGGAAGGGGAGGGGGAGGAGGGGGGACGCCGGATTTCTTCACGTTTGAGCTGATGGAGGGACACGTGTACATGGTGATGAATCTCGGATCGGGAGTGACGAAGGTCAAGGCGACCAACAGGTGAGTGAGTGTAGGAGGAGGAGGTGGTGGTGGTGGAGGAGGCGGTGGTGGAGACGGTGGAGGGGGAGACGGTGGAGGAGGCGGTGGAGGGAGCGGTAGAGGAGGCAGTGGAGGGGGAGGCAGCGGAGGGGGCGGTAGAGGAGGCAGTGGAGGGGGAGGCAGCGGAGGGGGCGGTAGAGGAAGCAGTGGGAG